CCTCTAAGTATTATTAATTACCAATTAGACCCCGTAAAAATCATTTATTCCATTTAACTCTTATTTAGCTTTGACTTTGACTATAAAAGGATGAGGTGTAACACCTAGTTGGGTAGATGTTCATAATGTTAGTTTTGATGATAATATAGCTACACAGCCTCTCTGAATTTTTTATACGTGCTTCTCAAATTTTGTTACTTTTTATAAGAGTTCTCTCAATCCTTCATTTATTTTCAGTTTTCTGTTGTTATTAGCATTTCCTGATTTCCGTCATCACGTTAAGTCATGTTTTGTCAACTGCAGATATGACATCGTCTATGTCTCAAATTTTCAATTTTTTTGTAGGGAATTGTCATTAATTTTGTTAGTGGGATACACATACACCCGATGGGAGATAACTGGAGACCTAGCTATAGCAGTTGGTGTTTGCCGCATGCATCTCTTTAAGACAATTGTGCTTCCAATTAGCAGATTTCTTTAAATGAATTCACTACACTGATTGAAGTAATGTATAATGTACAAAAGTATACTCTTTCAATAGTTTGTTCTATATTTTAACTGCACGGATTCAAATTTTGTAATGAAATTATTATTTTTTTTGCAGTCCAAAATCTGTTCATGAGGAGTATATCTTTAATTTTGCTAGGTCAATTTGCGTGAATTGCTGCAAAAATAGAAAAAAAGATCACAGAATAAAAAAAAACGTAAAATAACCGATGACAACTGTCAAAAAATGTTGCAAAAAAAAAAAAAAGAGAATAAACGTAAAGACAAAATGCCAAAAAAAAAAAAAATTGCTAAAACATGAAGACAAATCAAAGGCAACAGTCAATTAATGTTGCAAAAACTGTAAAGGCAACAATAAATGAAAGTTGCAAAATATGGTCAAGGAACGTTGCAAAAATATGTAAAGGCAATAGGTAAAAAACATTACAAAACGTTAAAATCAACTTTCAATAAATGTTGCCAAAACGAAAAGGCAATGTTCATTTGATGTCTTTTGCAACGCACTTTGCACGGTACTATATTCTTCTAATCTCCAACAACATCTAAGCTCGTAACATATATTTGAATGTTGCGAAAGGTCTTTGACAACATTTTTACGTGTTGTGAAAGACAATTTTTGTTGTAGTGTGCCATTATTATATTAGGTCTACAAGTCTAAAAATGTGCCTAGGTATGATGTTGATAAGATTCTATTCTTATTATTTTTTAATTTTATTCTGGAGTGGATCTATCCTTCCTTAGTTGAATGAGATATGCATTGCAATTTAATCTCTTGTTTTTTGGAGCTTTTATGTAACACCCTGTAAATTTTGGAATAAAATTTATTTGTTCTATAAATTAGATTTTATTATTTTGATAGTTGAGGGACTAAAGTGAAGTATGTTTTAAATTCTTATATTTTGAGTCAAATATTTGGATTTTGATAGAGTGATGATAAGTATATTAATATGGGTCTCGTTAGATAACTCCTAATTAATCATGTAAATTAGGCTCGAGAAAGAGTTATATCAGATAAGTTAGTCTCAAGATATTGAAGTTCAAAGAAATTTGTAATTTATTTATTTATTTTTAAATCAAATTGAAATTGGATTAAAGATAGTCACGTGTAAAGAGTGGATGTGAAATAAAATTTTATTATAATTCTATTTAAAGTCAAAAGTTATTATTATCACGTATTGAGATTTGAATCATCTTTTTTGTTGTGATGTACATGTGTCATGTTGTGATTGATTACTAGAAATTCAATTCTTATCAAAATTGATAAATACGATTTTCCGTCACAATTGTACTATGACACAAACACTATATTTTTTAACTATAAATAATGTGCAATTGTTCCATAATTCAGCACCAAAGAAATTTTACACGACAACTTTCATATAAAGCAGTTGTAAATTTCTAGTAAATTTTTTTCTTCAAAAACTTGTTAGATCAATCAAAGTAATATACATTTGTGCAAGTGGGATGTTTCCGTATAATTTTATGTTCAATAATTTATGCATGAATTGTCAGTGGACCTTCGGGTTCGACCTAACGAAATGTGAAATCCTTCGTGAATTTCAAATGAAAAATGACGGGTATTTCGTTTGGTCACCGATATACTCCATAAAAATAAATGAGAAATGAGGTATGAATTGTCCATGTCATTGTTATATAATTGCATATGGAAACTGCATGTATTTTAGTGAGTGTATTTTTAAAATATTCACTCCTACAAATTTTTACAAACTAGTTTGGGTCGATTGGATCTGTGGCGGGATGGTGCCGCGGGCTGCCAAAAGATTTCGACATACGAAAATATTAAGTTTTACTTGCTTTAAATTTAGTAGTTTTGTTTTGTTCAATAACATTATTATCGATTAGTTGAGAATGTTTAAATTGTATTAAAAACACGATTTTATGATTCAAATTTAAGTTTATGAATGTTCAAATATTTTGTTTATTTAGAGAATATTATTTTATAGTTCCGCATTTTAAGTAAATAATAGCAAATGAAATTTTTTCGGTAACACTTCAAGATGTATGAAATTTTGGGGCGTTACACTTTGGTATCAGAGTAAAGGTTTTGCTTTCCTATAAGCTTTGTAAAAACAAATTACAGAAGATTTATATTTTAAGAAGTCTCAAAATTTATTTATTGTTTGAGTTTTCTTGATTTGAGTATTCGCAAGATTGAAAGGTTTTGTCAAAAAGACCTAAACTGTCTAAGAAGATATTGTGATTTAAGCGGTCCGTTGTGACCCCCTTCCTCATGTGGAAGGCTTTTGATTGCGCATTATTCAAATTAACGAGATGAAATACAATATTTCAAACCTTTTTTAAAAAATCTATTTTTTTTTGAAACTTCTATTTTGAGAAAATCCTATTTTGGAGATTACCAAAAAAAAAAAAAAAAAATGCAGTATTTTTCATAAACATTAGGAGTTTACAGACAATGTAAAATTTTTTAAAGTCTTAAATATGCAATGAGATGAAGAATCCTTGATACGTAGCGCTCACTATTCGATCACTCTCCAATTGATCCAAGGTATGAAATGAAATGTCATTCTTTTAGCATGATGATTATGAATTTTCTTACTTGATATTATGTACTATTATGAATATGTCAAAGTCGAGTATCTAAATTTTTTCAAGTGGTTGAAGTAATTTCGAGAACGAAATTTTTTTGAGGAGGGCAGATTGTAACAAACCAAAAATTTTAGAATAAAATTTATTTGTTCTATATATTATATCTTATTATTTTGATAGTTGAGTGATTAAAGTGAAGTATGTTTTAAATTCTTATGTTTGGATCAAATATTTGGACGTTGATAGAGTGATGATAATTATATTATTATGGGTCTCGTTAGATAGCTCGTAATTAATCATGTAAATTAGGCTCGAGAAAAAATTATGTCGGATAAGTTAGTCTTAAGATATTAAAGTTCAAAGAAAATTGTAATTTATTTATTTATTTTCAAATCAAATTGAAATTGGATGAAGGATAGTCACGTGTAAAGAGTGTATGTGAAATAATATTTTATTATAATTCTATTTAAAGTCAAAAGTTATCATTATCACGTATTGGGATTGGAGTCATCTTTTTTTGTTGTAATGTACACGTGTCATGTTGTAATTGATTACTAGAAATTCAATTCTTATTAAAATTGATAAATACGATTTTCCATCCCAATTGTGCTATGACACAAACACTATATTTTCAATTATAAATAGTGTGCAATTGTCCCATAATTCAGCACCAAAGAAATTTTATATGACAGTTTTCATATAAGACAACTGTAAATTAATTTCTAGTATATTTTTTTTCTTCAAAAGCTCGTTTGATCAATCAAGATAAGATACATTTGTGCAAGTGGTATGTTTCTGTATAGTTTTATGTTCAATAATTTATGCATGAATTGCCAGTGGACCTTCGGGTTCGATTTAACGAAATGTGAAATCCTTCGAGAATTTAAAATGAGAAAATGATGAGTATCTCGTTTGGTCACCGATATACTCCATAAAGAGAAATGAGAAATGTGGTATGAATTGAATATGTTATTGTTATATAATTGCATATGAAAACTGCATGTATCTTATTGAGTATATTTTTAAAATACTCACTCTTACAAATTTTTACAGGCTNCACGCATCTTACTGAGTGTTTGCAAAATACTCACTCTTGCAAATGTTTACAGGCTAGTTCGGGTCGATTGGATCTGTGGCGGGATGGTGCAGCGGACTGCCAAGAGATTTCGACATACAAAAATATTAAGTTTTACTGGCTTTAAATTTAGTTGTTTTGTTTTGTTCAATAACATTATTATCGAATTTATTAGTTGAGAATGTTTAAATTGTTTTAAAGACACGATTTTATGTTTCAAATTTAAGTTTATGAATGTTCAAATATTTTGTTTATTTAAAAAATATTATTTTACCACATTTTAAGTAAATAATAGCAAATGAAATTTTTTTGGTAACACTTTAAGGTGTATGAAATTTTGAGGCGTTACATTTTACCAATAAGGGGCCGTTGACCCTATATGTTTAAATCTCATGCCCTCACTTCTGGCCTTTAGGTTTTATCAACTTGCCGGCTGATTAGTTATTCCCAACAGGAGCTATGTGTTCAAAAAAAAAAAAAAAAATAGTTCCATTTATCTATCCAATTTCTTTACCCTTTGGTATCCCATTGGCTTTACCCTGATAGGATTTGTATCGATATCTCGCTTTTTGATAGATTTGCATGTGCATCTTATCTTGCGAATGATACGGTAATAGTCCAGTTTAGTGGTAAGATTGAAAATACATGACATACAATAGTAGACACACAAGAAAATAAGCAGTTAACAATAAAAAGTAAATGTTGAAATTAATCCAATTTGGTTAAGTTTCAATCATAAAGCCCAACAATAAAACTTAGTTCATGTTAAATATACAATAATAAAGGAGAATATTTATCCAATACGTCAAAAATGATAAAGAAAATAATGGAGAAACAACAAGATTAAAGGATGTCTTATTCGAGATTTCTGGAGTATCTGGATAAGGATCAGGTGACAAAAGTAGACTTGTTTGAAAATGGAACCATAGCAATAGTTGAGGCTATCTCTCCAGTGTTGGGTAACCGAGTGCAGAGAGTTCGTGTACAACTCCCAGGACTCAGCCAGGAGCTCCTTCAGAAGTTCAGAGAAAAGAATATTGACTTTGCTGCCCACAATGCTCAAGAGGACTCTGGTTCTCTTCTATTCAACTTGATTGGAAACTTGGCCTTCCCTCTTATCTTGATTGGGGGTCTTTTCCTTCTATCAAGACTGTCCTCTGGAGGAATGGGTGGTCCTGGTGGGCCAGGTTTTCCACTTGCCTTTGGTCAATCAAAGGCTAAGTTCCAGATGGAACCAAACACTGGTGTAACATTTGATGACGTAGCTGGAGTAGATGAAGCAAAGCAAGATTTTATGGAGGCTGTAGTGTTCCTGAAGAAGCCTGAGAGGTTTACTGCTGTGGGTGCACGTATCCCTAAGGGAGTTCTGCTTGCTGGTCCTCCAGGTACTGGAAAGACGTTGCTAGCCAAGGCAATTGCTGGGGACGCTGGTGTTCCATTTTTCTCAATATCAGGTTCGGAGTTTGTTGAGATGTTTGTTGGTGTTGGTGCCTCACGAGTCCATGATCTTTTCACGCATTGTATTTGTCGATGAAATTGATGCTGTTTGGCGTCAAAGAGGAACGGGAATTGGTGGTGGAAATGATGAAAGGGAACAGACTCTGAACCAGTTTTTGATGGAAATGGATGGTTTTGAAGGGAACACTGGTATTATTGTTATTGCAGCAACTAACCGTGCTGATATTCTTGAGTCTGCATTGTTGAGACCTGCAAGATTTGATAGACAGGTAAAGATACATTTTATGTCTTTCTCTAATTTTAATGTTCCTATTCTTATGCACTTTTGAATCTTCGTATAGGTAACTGTTGATGTCCCAGATATTCGCGGAAGAACAGAGATCTTAAAGGTCCATCTGGTAATAAGAAGTTTGATTCTGATGTATCTCTTGAAGTGATAGCCATGAGGACACCTGGTTTTAGTGGAGCAGATCTTGCTAATCTCTTAAATGAGGCTGCTATTCTGGCTGGTCGACGTGGAAAGTCCGCAATCTCATCTAAAGAAATTAATGATTCAATTGATAGGATAGTAGCCGGAATGGAAGGGACAGTTATGACAGATGGCAAAAGCAAAAGTCTCATAGCATACCATGAAGTAGGCCATGCCATCGGCAGGTAAGTGCTGTAGAGAATTTCATCTATAGATTTTTTTATTTTTTTATACAATAGTTGGTATTTTTAACATCATCTTGCTTTTTAGATGTAATATTTCAATCTGGAATCAATCTTATGCTGTGGTTTTTGTCCTGTTGTTTGTGAGCTGTGACCTTTAAACTAAATTCTCTAGCTGTCTTACTCTTACAAACCTGGCCACACCCTAGGCTCCTTGTTGCCACACAAAAGTGTACAGCCCAATTCAGACGGTCCAAGAGAGAAAGCCCAGTTAAAGAATTCGAGATAAATGCCCAATCAAGAAATGTCATTAAATATGATAAAGGCCCACAAACAAAGCAATGTCGTCGCCCAAACCTGCAGAACGCCCAGAGGCTGAGCGAATGAAACACCTTATGGTCGCCCGAGCGAAGGACCAATTGTCGCCCAAATTGCTGAGTCGCCCAGAGTCCTGGTGATGGTTAAATCCTGTTGTTATTTAAAGTCACGGTTTAAGGCGGTTTGAGCATGTCACGACTACACCCCACGATTTGAGAAAATTAGTGGCAAGTAGTTATGAAGAAAACGTGGTAGTAGGAATTACAAGTGGTAGTTATTGACCAATCGGCCATTATGAAAGAAATGGGTAGTTACAAACAGTATCCAAACGTTGAGGACTGCCTAAAGAGTATAAAAGAAAGAATGAGACAATGAAGAAAGCCCGACAAAATTCACTCTCAAACAGAGAATATGTAATTTACTTTTCTTGGATTAATTTTAATTAATTCATGTCCTCGTACTCGTGTGCTTGCGCCCCTTGGAGGCATCTTGTTCGTGTCCAATTGTAATCTTCAATCGATAAACACCCCTTTTTGGGACTTTGTTCCAAGAGGTTTGTTCCTTACACAATCGTCTGATCCTCTTTTTAATTGTTAGCGACAAACCGCGCGAAACAGCTCCTTATGTTACAGTTATTGCAAATCATGGCTTTCTCACACCTAGCGAACATCTTACTTGACCAAACCTACATGCATTTCAGGACAAGCGTTTGCTGGGCTGAGTA